ACAAAAAAAAGTGCACAGGGTACATTCAAGTACTCAATGAGTACAATCCAAACCAACAAAAAAAAGTTAGATTTTTCAAACTTCGATGCCAACTTCACATAGCTAAGAAGCTTGAGAGAATCCGTTCAGAGAGTGAAAGAAATTTTCGAACGAAAAATAAAATGGAGAGAAGGAAAGATTCCGAGGTCAAAAGAAAACGGTTGCCTTGATTATTGTTTTCCCCGAATCAATGCCTTGTCAATTAAATTAAAAACGAAGGACTGAGGAAAGATAATTGGAGGTGCGACAAGACAATGCTTACCGGTTAGTGTGGCTTTTGGATTTCCCAGAATGTTTTTCACCCGTATTCTCCACCTCCTCCATATCGTTCCACTGATTCGGACTGGACATGCCACCAAGCCATCCCTCAACGAGTGTACGAGCTGCAGCAAGAGCAATATCTCTTGCTGTCTCGTCTCGTGCACACAAGGGTGTCAAGAATCTGTTGACAATGTCCACTTCGTCACCCCTCGTCGAGGGACCAGAACAATTTTTCTTATCCTTATTCATGACGATTTATTGTATGTGTTGCATTGGCCAGCCTCTTCTACAACCTTTGCTGGAGACAAATAAAAAGTACGAGCATGATGATGGAGTCATCACTTTGAAATTCACATTTCGATTCGAAACTAGAATATTTGGAATCCAAATACACTAGACTTTCAATTAATTTGAATTTTAATGGAATAATCAATTTCGTATTGACAATGCCTCCTGGGTCATTTCATCCAAAATCTCGCTACATTGCATTTTAATCGGAAATTCAAGCCAGAAAAATTAGAATGACACTTGTAGAGCTATCGAATGCGTTAATTGTGACGAGACTGAATACGATAATTGAGAAGGCATAGAACATGACACTTCTACTGACATTAGCCGTGACAAATAGATAAATGATTCAAAGCCCTCACGGTCATGATTTTAATATTTATTTTCCCCTGATATGTTTCTCCATTTTTTTTCATTGTCCACTGAACCTCGGTATTCAGCCAATCCCATTTCAATCTTGGAATGATTATTCCATGAAAAAAGTCAATAGAATTGAATATTTTCGAGCAACTTATTCCTTCGACAATCGATAAATTACGAACAAAAAACGATAAGCATTACAATTTACTCTAGCCGACGATAAAATTGTTTCAATCTCAAGTTTCCTGACAATTGCGTGTTGGCAATAAAACTCATAAATTGAACTGTACTCGTTCCACTTTACAATGTCACTCTGGCCAAAGAAAAACAAAACAAAAAAAAAAATCAACAAATGGACGTGACAAGAGTGAAGTCGATTGTGCCCATAACATTGATACGCGGATAATGCCACCAAGAAAAAACCCCAAGAACTTAAAGACCGAAAGAACGGAAATATCATTTAGAAAAATGAAATAAAACCGGTTGGCTGGAGGTGACTGCCGTCAGCTGACCAGCCCAGCTGAATGGCAGTGGGAAGGGCACAATTGTATATAACACTTGTCACCATCACCCTGCACTTCAATTCCCGGAATAATCTCTTTCTACCACCAAATCCACCATTTTTCAATATTCAATATTATCTAGAGTATGTAAATACCTCGGTGTGTTACTCAGCAATCGATGACAACCTCTAACACCACGAAAACACAACAAATAACTGGAGAAAAACTTATTCAAATCCACTCACAATGGAATCTTCCGACAGACTGAGCAAACCGGTGAGGCGTTCCCCCCGGCACACACACTCCCTCTGTTCTCTCCTTTATTATCCCCTCATTTTATTAATTTACGAATTTTTGGTTACACTCTGAGGGCCTTCGCAGTTATTGTCGTTGATATTGTGAACCGTTTACGTTTGTTGACGACCTCCGAGTCATTCTATTCGGTGTATAAACAAAGAGCCGTTCCGACTGGCGGCCATTGTCCCTCGAATTCTGGGAATCGAAGGGACGAACCACGACGCACCGGCGCCGCGCACCATTCACTGCGCACCGCTCATGGCACTGCGTTCAATTCGTACGAATTATTTCATTCCTTTTTGAAATTAGTACCTGGTTATTGGCAATTTTATCATGGAATACAACAAATCTTCACTCCGGCGGCAAAGAAATTGAAATCGTGCATCCCAGCTGATTTCTAGTTGTCATTTCAGTTATTTTTTAAATAAAAATCTCGAGCCACCGTACGTTAACAGCTGCGCAGACGACCGGCACTTATTTTGAAACTGTATTAGGTAAGGTTAGTTAAATGTTAATAAAATTATAAAACTGGGGTATTAATGATTTTTTGGTGAGATTGTAGATTTTCCGGGGAATTCATGTTAATGGAAATTTTTTAAAAGATCAGAGGGAAAAAATATTTTTAATCTCTGATTGATGTTTATTGATTAACAATTCCTCCTCAAAATAAAATTTACAATATTCAACAATATTTTTCACAACTCCGAGTGGGTAATAAATCGTATGACCCACTAAACTCCATCAATGACAATCTTAAAGGTACGTTTAATCATTTCCACATGATGTTTTGCATTGGGAAGAGAATATTTTTTAATTCCCATAAAAATACTCTCT